ACTGAAAAAAAAAAAAAAAAAAAATACATATTTAAGAGAAGTTGTTTATTTCCAAAATTTAAACAGAGAAACACTCGGGCTAATGACGAGGGTCAGTCCGGAATTCGGAGAAGAGGTGCAAGCTGTTTGGCCAGTATCGGCTGATGTGAGTTTTCAGACAGAAAAATTCCCTAAGTACAAGTTAGGACCTGATAATGAAATTTTGGAGGAGATTAAAGAGGACAGTAAAGTTCCACCATTGAAGGAAGTTGTAGTTCAAGAAACAAATCAGTTAACTGAACAACATAAGCGTCTTTCTGTTCGGGACCTGGCTAGTAAATTCGACAAGAATTTGGCAGCAGCAGCAAAATTGACTGAGGAGGTACTTCTTAGTTCTACCAATTCATTTGCACTGTGTTTTTGTTGTGTGTGTTTCTTTTATCTATTTCTTTCTTTTTCCTTGGGGTGAATTGTTACATAACTATACTGCAAGAAGCCAAGAGCTACCTACCCTTGTGTTTTAGCTTATTCACTAACTAATCCGTTTATATTTCGAAATTACATATAATGGGGTGTATCTGTTAGCTAATTAAAAACCTTAATAGGGATGCTTGTGGCACTTAAAAGAGGGTATATGTAATTTTGAAAGATAAATGGATTGTCATTTTTCTGTTGTTATATGCTAACCCTCAGGTGTAACATTTGTAAATAATATCCAAACTATGTGTGATTATTTTCTTGCATTTTTTCATCTCGAAAGATCAAATACAGGACAATTTTTTTTTTTTCACTTTTTCAAAATCTTGTGATGAATTTCAGGCCAAACTCAAAGAGGTGGCATCTTTAGAAGGGCACGTGCTTCTGAAGAAGCTTAGGGATGCTTTGGAATGTCTGAAAGGAAAGTTGGCTGGTCGAAACAAAGAAGACGTTGAGAGAGCAATTTCAATGGTCCCATTTTACTTCTTCAATCATAATTCAGTTTTTTTTCTTTACTTCTTTAATCTAAAGTTTTTTTGGTAAAATTATTAGCTTATGTTGCCAGGTGGAGGCCTTGGCAGTGAAGCTGACTCAAAAGGAAGGGGAGCTAATTCAAGAGAAGTTCGAAGTGAAAAAGCTAGTGAATTTTCTCAAGCAGGTAATACAAACTTCTCTCTTTCTCACATTTTCAGTAGCTTTGATGCGAAATGCACTTATATTTGTAATATATTAGATGCTAAAAAATTAAGTTACTGATTATTTATTTATATTTGTTCATGTAGGCTTCTGAAGATGCTAAAAAGTTGGTCAACCAGGAGAAATCTTTTGCCTGTGCCGAAATCGAGAGTGCAAGAGCTGTTGTTCAGAGGATTGGGGAGGCTTTAGAGGAACAAGAAAGAAATCAAAGCTCAGGCAAACAGCAGGTAATTGTGGAAATGTGTTTGCT